AAATATAAAACCATTCCACAAAAAGAACAGCTATAATAGTTTTCACTCATCAGAGGTTTTACATTCCACTGTCTGTTTATTGTTTTGTAAATAGAAAGCAGTTCATACCAGAATTATCAGCAAATTGTTGGTGACTCTCTCCAAGCTTCTTACTATTGGCTCTTATTTTGGTAGGCCAGCCTGTCTGGCTGTTCTTGAATTGTTATCTGAAGTCTCCTCAGTACCAGAATCTCAGATAAATTTAGCGAATGTCAATATCCAGCCAGTAGTCTGAGGGTAGCTCAGTATGGGGAATCTCTTTTTAAATCCAGATTTGTTTGTTGCTCAAAATTATCCAGTCTATGAGATTGTATTATGTATGTTTACAGTTGTATACCTATAACATGTCTTTTTGTCCAGTACTATCAAATATTGTAGGTTGTTTCTCCAAAATAGTAGATTTTTACCTTTTCAAAATTAGAAGAGATGTTCTGTAATTTCTAGACCAGGAAGGTTGGTTCTCCCCCCCATACCCCCTCATTAAAAACAGAGTAACAAGGATTTTAATTATAGAAGAAATTCCAGAGCGTTATGAAAGATTCCAGAAAAGATTTAATCATAAAAAAATTTTTTAAATATCCTTTAAAAGTTTTAAATTTTGTATTAGTGACATAACTTAATTACTTGTAATTCATTACCCATTTTAGCTTCTATATCTTTTAGACATAATGTTAGATATTGGATATACAGTAAAAAGATCTAGTGACTGGCTTTGAGTTCACAATCTAGAAGAGAAGAGAAACAAGAAAATTGTAATTTATAGCTCACTATAATAAGAAATACATGCCCAGGAGTATTTTGAGTGCCAGTAGAATTCTTAGATAGGTATAACCTCATGTCTTTGGAGGGAGAGAAGATGGATCGGTAAGGAAACATGAAGTGGCCTCTGAGCATAAAGTAGGAGTTAGCTAACTCTTTTTTTTTGGATTTTAATGAACTCTGAAGTCTTACCTTTCATTTTCTTCCCTGTTCATCATTGTCTTCTCTCTCTCTTTTTTTTTTATCCTCACCCGAGGACATTTTTGCATTTATCTTCAGATAGAGCGTGAGGGAGAGAGGGAGAAAGAGAGAGAGAGAAACATCAATGTGAGAGACACATCGAGACACATTGTGTGCCACCCACACAACCCCAACTGGGGACAAACTGCAACTGAGGTATGTGCCCTTAGCAGGAACCGAGCCTGAGACTCTCTGGTCTGCGGGCCGACGCTCTAACCGCTGAGCCAAATGGGTCAGGGCTGTCTTCTCTCTTTTGTCTACTTTTGTTGAAAAGTATAGAGATGATGCTTTTTCATTATTATAAATTTATTGCATAATTTCATTTTTATGTTAATAAATTTTAAAATATTTACATTTTATTTCTTTGTGAAAATAAAATTAAGTGGCTTCTTTGCTTTGTGATATTTGGTTCACTTCTTTCTATTTCTTTGGATCTTAATTGGAAAAGAAGGTAGCAGTCTTATTAATTATAGCAATATATTACTTAGCTGATTATTGTTTAGTGTTTGGGTTTCAGAATGGATGCTAATGAAACCATATTGGGTCTTTCGACATCTTTTTTGTTGTGGCCACGTCGGGCATATTTTTCTTTGCATTGAGATTGTCTACCTTAAATTGTAATTGTTTTCCTAAAATAGGTCCTTCCTCTCCCCCTCTACCAGAGGTTTAACAAATGGTTTTATATGATGACATTAATCCATAATGCAGCTCATCTCATTTATTTATTATTAATAGAAATCTGGAACTTAAAAGTTTATTATATTATATTTTATTTATTTTATTGGGATGTGCCTTTAGCGGGAACTGAACCTGGGACTCTTTGGTCCACCGGCCAACGCTCCAACTGCTGAGCCATACCGGCCAGGGCAAGTTCATCATATTTTATACATGTTGAGTTTGAGGTGACAGTGGGATATCCAAATGGAAATGTTCACTTAGCAGTTGGAAATTTAGATACCAAATTACTGAGATGAGAAAGATTGTATTTATCCTTTATAGAGGAAAATTAGATCTTGTCATCCCTCTGTTCTTAATCCTGCAGTGATTGCCTAATTCACTCAGAGTAAAGCTAGGTCCTTAAAATGGTTTTTAAGGCCTTACATGATATAGCCTACTATTATCTCTCTGATCTTAACCCCTACTCCCTCACACCTCTGTTCTAGCCACACTGATCTTTCATGTTTCTCAGAAAGCAGAGTTATGCTCCTGCCTTAGGCCTTACAGCTGCATTCCCTCTGCCAGGAGCCCTCTTCTTCCAGATACCATTTTCTCTTCCTCACTTCCTTCAAGTCTTTGCTTATATCTCACCTTCTCAGTGAGGCCTTTCCAAACTACCTGCTTGAAGTTGCTGCCCCTCCCCCTTCATACACCAAAGCCTCTATTGTTGCCTTATTTTTCTCCATAGCACTTATCTTCTAATATACTCTTTAATTTTATTTATTGTCTCTCTTCCTCCCAATAGAATTAAGTTCTATGAGGATAGTGATTTTTATAAATTTTATTTACAGCTGTATTCCCAGTACCTAGAACAGAGGCTGGCATGTAGTAGGAACTCGGTAAATATTTGTTGCTGCCCAGCCGATGTGGCTCAGTGGATTGAGCATCATTCCCATGTACTGAGAGGTCTTGGTTTGATTCCTAGTCAGGGCACATGCCCAGGTTGTGGGCCCAATCCCCAGTGGGGTGTCATGCAGGAGGCGGCCAATAAATGTTCTCTCTTATCGATGTTTCTATCTCTCCCTTCTTCTCTCTCTAAAATCAATAAAGAAAAAAAAATTTTAATCAATAAAAACATTGTGTGTGTGTATAAAAATATTTGTTGCTAAATTGAGCTACCCACATTGAGATAAATTTTAAGTTTTCTGACAAATGTTTACCTTTGCTGGGAACATGAGATATTACCAAGGATTTCATTTTTAAAGTCTTTCCTTTGGGTTGAAACTAAAATTAATATATATAATTTCTGTGTGTGTGTATTTGTGTGTGTAGGATATATCATATAATCTGTTTACATATAAATTATATATATATAATATATATATGAACACTTGCTTGGGCAGTATTTGGTGATTCATTCACCAAATTCTATAACAGACACACAATAGATAGGAGCTGATGCAGATTATGTATATTATGTTAAGGAGGTTGAATGTTATCCTGTGGGCAAGGAGGATTTAGAGAAGAATTTTAAGCAAGAGATTGACATGAACAGACTTAATTTTTGTTAGCCTATTCTGGTGGCTCAGGGAGGCTATCTGGGAAGCTATTTTAGTAGTCCAGCAAGAGATGATGAGAGGAGAATATGATGAAGGGATGGATTTTAGAAATATGTAGGAAGTAAAAATTGACAAATCTTGGTGTTTGCTTGTATGTAGGGTATGAGAGAGGAGGCTAGAAGAGGATATCTCAGATTGTCGCCTCCTTCTTCAGTCTCAGATACAGTTAGGACCCTAGTTTGGGACTAAATACCTCATTCTAGGTTAACATAGATCCTTTTATCTTGTTTCTCAACTCCAGTTGCTCATACTTCTAATCTGTCCTGTAAAGTGCAGCAAAGCCATTCCTGCTCAAATATCATTTCCCTGAGGAGGAATCTACTGGATTCCCTTACTGGAGCATGGTGGTTAAAAGCATGGGCTTTGGGATCAGAAAGACCTACTTAAGTCCTGGTTTAACCACAACTTGCCTATTTGGGACAGTTTGAAGATTAGGACAAAAGGATTTACTTAGACATATTTATTAAAGCCATGTAAGAGATTCTTATGGATTTCAGCATTCTTGATAATAAACTATAAGTGTGGCTGCTAATATACAATGCTATAGTTGTTTAATAATTTTATAATTTAAAGCAAAGTTATCTTTCCATTTAACAAGACTCTGTCTCATTTTACAAGGGAAGATGGAGTGAAAGAGAATGGAGAGGTATGTTGTTTAGCATTAATAAAATCTAGAAAGTAGTAATGAATATAAGGCTGGGGTAGGATTCTGGAATAGATTTCGTGAGAGATTTTTACAGATCAGAAGGAATCCTAAAGTGCAGTCAGTACTGGCACAACATATGAAAGAGACCTAGCTGGCATGCTAGGAGAAATGACTTTGTGTTCTTTGGCATCTGTACCGAGATCTTAACTAAACATTTGACCTTTGTTGCCTAAATATATATAAATACAAGGTTAGGAGTATAGGATTCAAAGTTAGTAAGTACCAAATCTAGTTCATTGCTTTAATTTTGATCATATATGGATTATTTATTTTTCTATCAGTATAAAATCTCAAATGTTATGAATAAACATTATTTTAAATCTTTTCCGAAGTAGAGTCTAAAACAAATAAATATAAAAAATAATTTAGCCCTGGCCAGTTTGGCTCAGCGGTTAGAGCGTCGGCCTGTGGTCCGGAGAGACCCGGGTTCGGTTCCCGCTAAGGGCACGTACTTCGGTTGCAGTTTGTCCCCGGCCCTGGTTCGTCGTGCGGGTGGCAGCCACTCGATGTGTCCCTTCACTCGATGTTTCTCTCTCTCTCTCCTTTCCTCTCTCTCCCTCCCACTCTATCTGTACAAAAAATGGAAAAATATCCTCAGGTGAGGAGAAAAAAAAATAATAATTTATCTGATTCCCACTTATACATTCAGTTTTTTATACTTGCATATAAAAGTGTTGAAAAAAGTCAGTATCTCTTTCATTATTCTAACAATATTTTCACAATTGATCCCTATGATTTCACAAAGGATTATTAATTTTATTTTACAGATTCAGAATAAAAAGTGTAGAAACACTAAATAGCTGATGACTCCCATGCTTTTGTGCTTTTGTATAGATGTAGGTGCTTTTATGTTGGCTGTAATAATCTATTCATTGAGAGTTTACAATGTTTATATATTTCCTAACATAAGAGAGCTTTGTCCCCCCCAATGGTTGGCAAGTTCATTAGGACAATTTCTTATTGTTGTACTTTCTTTTTAGGTGTGAAGTTTTTCAACATGAGTGGCCTCGGGGACAGTTCATCCGACCCTGCTAACCCAGACTCACATAAGAGAAAAGGATCGCCATGTGACACACTGGCATCAAGGTAGGAACACTCTTAGTTCGTTTTTGGCAGAGCTTCTTTATCATTTTTGTTGCTACTTTTTTTTTTTTTATCCTCACCCGAGGACATTTTTCCATTTTTTGATCAGATAGAGTGGGAAGGAGAGAGAGAGAAACATCGATGTGAAAGGGACACATTGAGTGGTTGCCACCCACACGACCCAACCAGGGCCTGGGACAAACTGCAACCAAGGTACATGCCCTTAGCGGGAACTGAACCCGGGTCTCTCTAGACCGCAGGCCGACGCTCCAAGCTAAACTGGCCAGGGCTTGTTGCTACTTTAAAGCTTTTGTTTCATCTGCTCCAAGTCTACTGGGCTTCTTTGAGTCCCACATGTTCTCTTCCTTCACTGGCTCCCTTACAATGCTACTCCTTCAACCAAGCTTGCTCCTTCCAGATTTCCTGTAGTCAACACATAGACATTCTGTTATCTTCCTTTCATAACTGTTAGGTCAAATTCTACTATTCATGTATCTGTCTCTCACACGTATTTTTATAGCAGATTCATAATTTCAGATTTTTTCTAGTTTGTGTGATTATTTCATGAATCCCTAGCTTCTCCACTGCAAACTAAACTGCCCTTTGGTAAGAACCTTGTCTGTTCTTGCTTACCATTTTACTCCTAGTTCCTAATACAATGTGTAGCTTGTACATAGTAAGGACACAACAAATATTTGTCAAAAGAATAAATAAATCCATTGTACCTCTTTTGACTACCATCTTAGAACACTATGATATTTGTGGAAAAGATAAATATATCAGGATTTTAAAGAATTATTGTGAGATTAAATATATGTATTTTAAAAGGAATATGACCACCTTAAATAGGCTTAAAAAAATTATTGCTAAAGAGACTCAAACAAATGCCAGATAAAGAAGGAACCTTAATCAGATCAAAAGAGCAGCTTGCTACCTGAGAAGAATGGGGATTTTATTCCATTTATCCCCATAAGTGGAAAGCAAGGTTTCTTAACCTCCCAACTATTTTATATTGTCGGTCAGATAAGTCTTTGGGAGAGCTATCCAGTATCTGTAGAATATTTAGCAGAATCCCTGGCTTCCCCACACTAGATGTTAGTAGCATATTTATATCAGTTATGATAACCAAAATGTCATTATCAGTTGTGATTACCAAAAGTGTCTCCAAACATTGTCAAATGTCCCCTGGGGTTGGGGAAGGCAATGTGACCCCCAGCTGATAATCACTGATCTAGAGAGTAGAGCAGCAGAAGACTCTTCTGTCATTAGATTACATGCTTTTTTCTCATGGGGAGAAAGAGGGATATTAACAGAAGAGTACCAGGGCTCCAGGCTGGGAATGAAAAGTGATTGTTTCCTCTAACAGTTCAGACTGTCAGAGAGGGATGATAACATAATCATAGGTAAGTGTCCAGATACTAGAAGGAATGTTGATGACAAAGTACAATCCAGATTTGTGTTGTCAAAGTTAATGTTCTGTTTTTATGTCTGTATTTAAAGTCAGTCCTTCTTAAAGGAAAATTAAGAATAAATAAATTAATTAATGTCTTTTACAGATAATTTTTTATTTGGGGACTTTTTAAATTTTATTTTATTTTTGTTACAGATGTTTCTCCTTTTTTACCTCATTGACACCCTCATCCCCATCCCCCCCACCCTGTATTTAGGGACATTTTAAAAATCTGTTAAAGGATAGAGATTGGGAAACTGTGTATTCCTACCACATATAATTAATAATATTTAGCAGTATTGTTAGCATATTTTCATAGTCTGATTTAAATAACAGTAAGAAGCTATTAATGAATAAATTGATATATCTACAGTTAATTCCTCCAGTCTGTTTTTTGTTGTTGTTGTTAATCCTCACCCGAGGATATTTTTTCCATTGATTTTTAGAAAGAGTGGAAGGGAGGGAGAATGGGAGAGAGAAACATCCATGTGAGAGAGACACACTGATTAGTTGCCTCCCGCACTCGCCCTGATGTGGGCCAGGGATCAAACCTGCATCCCAGGAACGCGCCCTTGACCGGACCTGAGACCCTTCTCTCTGTGGGCTGATGCTCTTAACCACTGAGCCAAACCAGCCAGGACCTCCAATCTGTTTTTTTTTTATGTATTACAGATGTGCCCCTTTATTCCCCCATTCCTCCCTGCTCCCACCCCACTCCTGCTTTCCCCAACCTAATGTCTGTGTCCATTGGTTGTGCATATATGGATATAAATTCTTTGGTTTATCTCTTCTCATCCTTCCACCTCCCATCCCTCTGAGGTTTGTCAGTCTTTTCTCTACTTCCATGACTCTAGATTTGTTTTGATCAATAGCTTATTTTGTTCATTATATTCCATAAGTAAATGAAATTATGTGATACTTGTCTTTCTCCAACTGGTTTATTTCACTCAGTATAATACTCTCCAGGTCCCTCCCTGTCATCTCAAAGGGTAAGAGATCTTTCTTACAGCTGCATAGTATGCCATTGTGTAAATGTACCACAGTTTCCGCCCCCCCCCCCCACCCACTCATCTACTGATTGACACTTGGGTTGTTTCCAGATCTTAGCTATTGTAAATAGTGCTGCTGTGAACATACGGGTGCATATATTCTGATTGTTGTTTCAGGTTTCTTAGGATATATTCCTAGAACTGGAATCACTGGGTCAAATGGCAGTTCCATTTTTAAATTTTTGAGGAAACACCATATTGTTTTCCATAGTGGCTGCACCAGTCTGCATTCCCACCAGCAGTGTGCTAAGAGTACACTTTCCTCCACACCCTTGCCAGCACTTGTTTGAGGATTTGTTGATGGCTGCCATTCTGACAGGTGTGAGGCGATATCTCATAGACATTTTAATTTGCATCTCTTTGATGATTAGTGATGTTGAGCATTTTTTCATATGTCTCCTGGCCATTTGTATGTCCTGTTTGGAGAAGTGTCTATTCAGGTCCTCTGTCTGTTTTTTAAATTGGATTGTCTTCCTTTTGTGGAGCTGTACGAGTACTGTATATATTTTGAATATTAACCTCTTATCCAATATATCATTGGCAAATATGTTCTCCCAGAGAGCGGGTTTCCTTTTCAGTTTGATACTGGTTTCTTTTGCTGTGCAGAAGCTTTTTAGTTTGATGTAGTCCCATTTATTAATGTTTCCTTTGTTTCTTTTGCCTTGGGTGATGTATCAGTGAAAAAGTCTTTTATTCATTTTGAGTTTATTGTTGTGTAGGGTGTAAGTTGGTGGTCTTGTTTCATTTTTTTGCATGTACCTGTTCAGTTTTCCCAACACCATTTATTGAAGAGACTGTCTGTTCTCCATTGTTTGCTCTTTCCTCCTTTATCAAATATTAATTGCGCATATTGTCTTGGGTTGGTTTCTGGGTTCTCTGTTCTGTTCTATTGATCTATATGCCTGTTCTTGTTCCAATACCAGGCTGTTTTGATTACAATGGCTTTATAGTATAACTTGATTTCTGGTATTGTGATCCCTCCATCTCTGTTCTTTTTCAAGATTGCTGTGGCTATTTGGGGTCTTTTTTGGTTTCATATAAACTTTTGGAGCATTTGTTCTAAATCTGTGAAATATGTTGTTGGTACTTTAATAGGGATTGCATTGAATCTCTAGATTTCTTTGGGTAGTATGGACATGTTAATGATGGTGATTCTTCCAACTAATGAACATGGTATATGCTTCTACTTTTTATTTTATTTTCCTCTATTTCTTTTTTCAATGTCCTTTAGTTTTCTAAGAATAGGTCTTTTACCTCCTTGGTTAAGTTTATTCCTAGGTATCTTTTTTGTTGTTGTTGCAGTGGTAAATGGGATGGTTTTTTTAGTTTCCCTTTCTGAGTCTTCATTTTTAGTGTATAAGAATGCTTTTGATTTCTGGATGTTAATTTGTATCCTGCTACTTTGCCAAATTAATTGATTAAATCTAGTAGATTTTTGATGAATTTTTAAGGGTTTTCTATGTACAATGTCATGTCATCTGTGAATAATGACAGTTTCACTTTCTCCTTTTATTTTTTCTTCTTGTCTAATTGCTGTGGCTAAGACTGTGGGCATCCCTGTCTTGTTCCTATTCTTAAGGGCAATGCTTTTAGTCTTTGCCCATTGAGTATGATGTTGGCTATAGGATTTTCAAATTGTGTTGAGATATAATCCCTCTTTTTCCACTTTGCTGAGCGTTTTATCAAAAATTGGTGCTGGATTTTGTCAAATGCTTTTTCAGCATCTATTGCTATGATCATATGATTTTTATCTTTCATTTTGTTTATGTGGTGTATCACATTTATTGAGTTGTGAATACTGTACCAGCCTTGCATCCCTGGGATGAATCCTACTTGGCCATGGTGAATAATTTTTTTAATGTATTGCTGGATCCGTTTTGCTAATATTTTGTTGAGGATTTTGGCATCTGTGTTCAGCAGGGATATTGGCCTGTAGCCTTCTTTCTTTGTAATGTCTTTATCTGGTTTTGGAATTAGAATTATGCTGGCCTTATAAAAAGAGCTCTGGAAGTCTTCCTTCTTCTTGAATTTTTTGCAATAATTTGAGGAGAATGGGTATTAGTTCTTCTTTGAATGTTCAGTAAAACTCCCCTGTGAAGACGTCTGGACCTGGGCTTTTGTTTGCTGGGAATTTATTGATTACAGCTTCAATTTCCTTAGTTGTTATTGGTCTGTTCAAGTTTTCTGTCTCTTCATGGTTCAGTTTTGGGAGACTAATTCTAGAAATTTGTCCATTTCACCTAGGTTGTCCAGTTTGTTGGTGTATAATTGTTCATAGTATTTTTTAACAATCCTTTGTATTTCTGTGGTATCAGTTGTTACTTCTCTTCTTTAGTTTTTTATTTTGTTTATTTGAGTCCTCTCTGTTTCTTGGTGAGTCTAGTTAAGGATCCATCAATCTTGTTTATCTTTTCAAAGAACCAGCTCTTTGTTTCATTGAACTTTTGAATTTTTTTTAAGTCTCTATGTCATTTATTTCCGCTCTGACCTTTACTATTTCTTTC